ATTGCATTCAGCTCTCAAAAGATAAACATTATGCATACATACACACACACACATATAAGTTACAGCACTGAAAAACAAATAACTTTCAACGATTGCAACATCCCCATGGTCACATGATCAAAATTTAGGCACTTGGCAGAAGAATACTTGGGTTGTATTTATGACAATTGCAGGGTTCCAGAGTCATATGGTTGCCATTTGTGACCTTCCCGGTCAGCTTCCAAAAAAAAAAAAAAGCAAATTCCGTGGGGGAAACTCTATTTGTTTAATGACCACATGAGTCACTTGATGATGGTGATTCATTTAACAATTGTGGCAGAACGGTGCTAAAATAGAGCATGACTCACTTAACAAACAGCTTGATTAGCAGTGGAAATTCTGGTCCCAATTGTGGTTGTAAGTTGAGGACCACCTGTAATTAGATGTTTTTTCCTCCCAGGTTCTGCCTGTCATTGCTTTAGTTCCCAGTATAGCATTACTGATGATTGTTCTTAATTATTCAGTTCTTCTCACCAAGGATATATGTCTAGTAACGTTATTATCCCATCTTTTAAAAAATATCTCCCTTGGGAATAACACTTGCCATTTTATAATGAAGCATTAGTTTCCTCTTCTTCGCACCACTGAGGAAAAGGCGTTTTTTTAATCAGTGATGCTGTAGCTATGCAGAATAAAAACAAGAGGTGAACAAAAACGCAAAGGGAAGCTTCTAATTAACATTGCGGGGTCATTTTGTAGAAAGAAATAATAAACTTAGAAATAAACTCTGAAAGCTCTTGGCCACTACTTATTGATATATAGTAGTAGCATGTTAAATGTCTCTCAAAGCCTTAGTTTTCATTCTACTTGCAATTGACTGCAGAAAAGCAGTGCTAAAAAGACCTGGTGCAGAACAAACCCTAGTAAAATCTTTATAGTCTAATAAATTTTGCAGATTTAATTGCAAAACTGGCTAAAGGCTCTCTGCGCAGCGAGGTTGTTTTTTTTTTTTTGCTTCTCCTAATACATGTGACATGTCCAGGAACAATGTAATGTCAAACGTTCCCTTGAGAGATGTTGGAAGTCTAGCTCTTCTCCGTTTTCTGATCAGCATATCTCTCTCTCTCTCTAATTCCTTCACAGAAATCCCTCCCTGAAGCAGCAGCTGTTCTCCTATGCCATCCTGGGTTTTGCACTTTCCGAAGCCATGGGGCTCTTCTGCTTGATGGTAGCATTCCTCATTCTCTTTGCCATGTGACAAAACCAACATGTACTACTACGTACATACTCTTCCTTTCTTCCCACCTGTGTTTAGTCTAATGTGTACGCTGAGCTGAGTGTTTTGTGGGAGAGATGGGAAGCTCACCTGTTAACCAAATCCTCCCTGTTCACTGGGGGCAAGTGAATAAATACAGCGTTGGTATACATTTCCTGCTTTTTTTTAGTGTGCATATTTGATTTTGTAATAGACACCTGGTTCCAAATATTTTGTCCATGGGGTTAGTCGGTGATTTATTTATTTTTTGGGGGGTGGAATTGACCAGTGGGACACAGGAATTCCATCTGATGATGCCAGGACCATTTGCACAACATAATACAATGTGTTCAGTGCCTCCAATAGATTACTGAAAATCCAGTAATGGCTGTAAGTTTGTTTTTTAGTTCAGTAATTTGCAATAAGTGTGAAATACCTAATCAGTAGCTTGATGCCATTACTTTTTATGAAATCTTAATTAATTTAATGAAGCTTGTCCTTAGTGTCATAGGATTGTAGCAATACTTATTGGTGCTTCTGCCGGCATGACTTTAGCTTGGAGCAGGATGTACAGCCTCTATGCAAGATACAGTTCCTGAGCCTCTGTTTTGCTGCTAGAATGTATTAACAACCCATAAATAACAGTGAGACTCCCTACTATCCTTGTTTTTTAAAAAGAAAAATAAGCATTTTACATGTTTGTTCCACCTACTTTAGGCGTAAGAAAAAAAGCAAATATTAAAAAGTCTTTTAACACCCATTAGAAAGATCACTGCCTACCAATAGAACACAAGTGTAGTGCCAGACTCTCAGGTACCATCGGATATTGCAGACTTCTCCCCATGGACTTTTAATGGATTTTATATATAGATTGAATTGAGTCATGCTAAACTGTATGATTTCATTTTTAATTAGAGTTTGGAAATTTTTTAAAAGCATCCTATCTCAAGCTTGAAATATTTGTTCCCACTTTACCTTTGTTTGAGCAGCTATTTCAAGCTTAAAATATTTCCACTTAAAGCTGTTTTTTCACATCTGTACAATTTTCTTAGTGTTATGTAAGATATGGGGCTTCTTTAATAAATCATGGATAAGGAAACTAGGGATAGGTCAGTTGTGAATTCCATCCTTTGTCCTAGGTCTAGTTGTAGACAAGGAAGATCTTTTTGCATCCTGGTCACTAGAAGGAATACATTTTTACAGTGGTTACCATTTAATTAAATCTACAAATATTTCTGTTTCTAAACCTCTGAATTTCAGGTTAATACTTTTATATAGAAAAAACTATTCTCAGCCCCTTTATTGTCCAGATGTCTTAGGTTACTTCAACAATCTCCTATAGTGCTGAGTAGGATTAATAGAAGTTGAATTCCAACATATTTGAAAGGTATCAGATTATCTACTACTATTATAAGTCTTCTGGGTATCTTGGAAAGCACAGAGCAGGGTTCTGACCTTAACTTCTTTTATTTGAGTTTTGGCTTACTTATTTAATCAAATTTACTAGCCACCCATCTCACAAAAGTGACATACAATAATTTATAAAAACACAATACATATCTAAAAACAGGCATTAAAAATATAAAAATCAAAAATAGAGATTAACAAACACAAAACATAAACACAATATACAAAACCTACGCACAGAGACAGTGAGTACATCCAATCTCAATCATAAAGCCATCTAAACAAGCCTCTGGTTCCCATGGAATAACCAGAACTTGAGGAAATTCCACAAAAATGAGGAAGATGTTGGGGTGGAGGTACGTCTATCACTGTGCACTGTACTAGCAATATTTATGATGATTCCAGAAATCTGTGTAGCTTTTTGTCATTGTAATAGAGCTTACTGAGGTAAAAAAAAATGCCTTGGATGCTTCAAGGATGCTTAGAAGAAAGTTTTGAAGCTTATGGCTCATTGTTGTAATGCTTGTATTTGTTTTTTAAAAGTCTGGGTTGTGAAGATTCTGTTCAGAGACAGGTCTGTTAGCTACTAAGAGAAAGTCGTGGAGGATAAAAAAATACATATCAAATTTGGGAGAGGAAAAGAAAAGAGAATAGAAGGGAAATCTTCTTCATTCTGTCATTTGGCAATTAACTCTTTTAAGGTTAAGTACACAGTAAAAAAGGATAGTGCTCCCAAGGCAGTATCATAGGGACATGAAATGGAACAGATCTGTCTTGCTGCTCATAGAAAGCTATCCCATGGTCCAGGGTGGACAATCCGGAATTGCAATCCTTTTGGCTGCAGCATTGAACTCTTCCACCTGCTTCTTCTTTGTTTTTCTGTGTCCTAGAATTAGGAAGGGCTTTCGGTTTTATTATTTCTCTGCCTTGGGATTTCCTTTCCACTTCTCCCTTTTGCTTGCCATGTTCGTGTTATGTAAGAAATGAATCTTGTTCAGCATAATTTAGAATCCTCTATTCTTAAAAATAAAAAGGCATGTAATCAATTACTAGGGTTTTTTTTTTTAGGAAGGGTTGATCTGAAAATGCTGAAATGCTTTCAAAGAGAAAAAGAAAAAAAAGAGGATAGTAATCGTTCATCAGCTTCCTCAATATGTTTTATGTCCTATCTGTTTCTTTTACCTAAAATGCTTTGCCTGTGATTGTGCAGGGTGAACAAATGGCTCGCAACTATTTTGGGAATTCTTGGGAGCTTGACTATATTGACTAGGGTTGCTACTGCTTGTTGTCAACCACAGCTGGTCCTGGCAATCTAGACTGGGGTTGCTAAGGAACTGACTGAGCTGCACATCACAGTTAGGGCTGTGTTTTGGAAACTTGCTGCTGATGCCAGCCTGGCCATGGGGGGTGGAGTGAGTGAACAGTAATAGTTGAACAACGAAGGGAACGCTAACAAGTATCTGAACTAAGGAAACATCATGTCTGAGATGTGTCCTTAGTCTATGTAGGAGATAAAGTGGAATAGTTAATGGACAATTTAATCTAGGACTAGAGATATTCCAAAAATGCTAGTAAATAATGGAACTGCTCAACTTCTTATTCCCAGATAGAAAGGTTGTAAAATGGAGCAAACTCACTTAACAAATGTTTCATTTAGCAACAAAAATTTTAGGGCTCAATTGTGGTTGTTAGTCAAGGACTATCTGTATTTAACTATGTTGAAGGAAAGAATGAGTGCCACTAATTCCTGGATATGAGCTTGTCATCCATCCATCCATTTAGCAGGAACAAAGAATGATCCCCTTCTTACTTTGCAAAAACTAGGAGTTAGTATGCTCTCAAACTCCAGCCAGTGAAAAGAATGTGGGCATGCATCAATGCTGGGATTTCTGCAGCTAGCAAAGGGGGAAAAAGGTAAATCCTTCAAGTAAACTCTATGCTTAAGCCTACCATGTAATCAAACATTTATGCTTTGTGCTGTAGTACAAACCCCCTGTAGGAGTTATACTAAAGACTGATAGATAGGAAGCCATTTCAAGGATTCTGAATTGCTTTGGTGGTAAAATACTGTATATGTCAAGGTACATACAGCTTAAAGGGTGTTCAAAAAAAAAGCCTTGCCTTGCCTCTCATTTGTGTTGGGAATGTATAATCACCCTTGTAATTTTGAGAAGAGTTTATTTAGGAGCAGCACCTGAAAGAAAAGTCTGGCAGTCTTATCTCACCCCAGGTTCTCAAGCTAGGTTGACAGCTGGATTGAATGTGTACACTTGGGATCCTATACCAAAGAACAATCTCAAAACGTGTGCTGTGGGATAAGAGCACTTCCAAAACAAGGGGACAGTAGAATTAAAAATAGTTTTTATTTGCTTGTTTGCCTCCTTTCCCTTTTGCCCTTGGTGGAAGGATGTTCATCTCTCTTGGAGTGATGAGTAGCTGTTATAATCAATAGTTCAACATCTGGATGACCACATATTCCCCCATACCTCATATAAGCAACATTTTATCCCTTCACTCCACTCAGTTCAAGCTTCCCCATCCCTTCTCGGGCATATAGGAATTCCTAACCAGCACAGGGATTCTGGGATTGTTTGGTTGGGGAAAGAAAAGAAGGCTGCTTTCATCATCTCCAGTTGCCACCTGACCCTCTTGTTAAACAGTATAATTTTTGTGGACTGCTACTGCACACAGACAGCATTTATTCCTCACATTTCAAAGGGGACGTGCTTATTTCAGTAGGAATGCCTGGAATATTTCCTAGAGCACATGATTTGTCAGCTGGCTCCTCTTGAGTTGTCTAGGCCCAGAGATATTCAACAGCCTGCAGAGAGAAGATACAGTTTAAATACCTGCATGGCTTCTACATTTAAGTAATAACATTATAGGCTGTAGGCTTATCTTTTCAGAGGTTTTACCAGTATATAAGGAACAAAAAGGGAAAGGCCAGCGTGTAGCAGAGTTTAATGTGTGGCTAAAGGAGTGGTATAAAAGTCTGTAGCTGGTCCAATGAAAAACTATAAAAAAGATGGTTTGCATCCATCAAAGAAAGGGACTGTGTTACTTGGCATTAAATTCACAGATTTTTTAGATAAACATTTAAACTGAACAGCAGGAGACAGAATTAATTGATACAGAACATTTCTGTCCCTAGCAATCTAAAATTAGGGTTATCAGTGCATGTATCATAGATGTTTGTGCGGGTAAGATTATCAACCTTGCTGTCAAGCAAAACCAAGCTTTTAATAGTGAGTGCCATACCAGGTGCACTAATCAAACAGATGGCAAGAAAGTAGGGGAAGTCAGGCACAACACAGGTTATGTAGACAGTAAACACAGGGTCAGTCAAAATGGACTCAAATGTCTATACACCAGTGCACAGAGTATGAGGAATAAACAGGGTGAATTAGAAATTCAAGTAAATGAGGGTAGATATGATATTGTTACCATTATGGAAACTTGGTGGGATGAAATCCACAAATGGAACATGCAGCTAGAGGGATTTAAATTATTTAAAAGAAATAGACCAAATAAAAGAGGTGGAGTTACACTATATATAAGAAATAATGATTCTTGATTCTTAACGAATGTACCTTTTCTTTATGTATACTGAGAGTATTTACACCAAGACAAATTCCTTGTGTGTGCAATCACACTTGGCCAATAAAGTATTCTATTCTATTCTATTCTATTCTATTCTATTTCTATTTCTATTCTATTTCTATTCTATTTCTATTCTATTTCTATTCTATTCTATTCTATTCTATTCTATTCTATTCTATTCTTCATAACTACATCTCTATAGAAATAGAGTACAACAATGACGAAAACTGTCTTGATTGCATTTGAGTCAATATTAAAGGGGGGGAAATGACATTGCCATAGGTGTATACTATATAAGCCATCCAACCAAACAGAGGAAATAGATGAACTTTTTGCTAGTCAGTTAACTAAGGTAGGTAGGAAGCACATCAAGTAATTGGGGATTTTAACTACTCTGACATCAACTGGGAGACAAACTCTGCACCAAGTATAAGAACCAACAGGTTCCTGACAAACCTAGCAGACAACTTTGTTTCCCAAAAAGTAGAGAAGGGAATAAGGGGATCAGCCATATTGGACGTAATTCTCACTAACAGAGATGACATGATAGAAGGTGTTGAAGCTATAGGAATCTTGGGGGGGAGTGATCATGCAATATTGGAATTCAACATCATGCAAGCACAAGCAATAGAACAAAATCAAACTAGAGTCTTGGACTTTAAGAGAGTTAATTTCAATAAACTTTAAGAGAGCTTGGGAAGGATTCCATGAATAAGAATCAAGGGAAAACAACTCAAGCTTGGGAAATTTTGAAAAGTAAGGTTATAAAAGCCCAGTCTAGTACAATACCAATGAAGAAAAATAACAGCTCTCAAAAGAAACCAGCATGGCTGCATAAAGAACTCTTGACAAATCAAAAGACAAAGGACAAGTATAAAAAAATGGAAAAGGTGCATAACTAAGGAAGGTGCATAACTAAGAATATATGGAGGGAAGTATGTCTTCATCAATGATTTGGACAAGGGGATAGATGGGGAACTCATCAATTTTGCAGATGACACCAAGCTAGCAGGAATAGCCAACACTCTGGAAGATAGGCTTGAGATACAGAAGGATCTTGACAGACTTGAACATTAGGCGCTACATAAGAAAATGAAATTCAGTGGTGAAAATGCACAGGTACAGTATATGTGGTATCTTGATCAATAGTAGTAACTCCAGTAGTAAATGCTCCAACACGGGAAGTTTTTAAGAAGAGATTGTATAACCATTTGTCTGAAGTGGTATAGGGTTTCCTGCCTAAGCAGGGGGTTGGACTAGAAGACCTCCAAGGTCCTTTCCAACTCTTATTCCATGCTATTCTATCAATGGCAGCAAATGCTATGTTCACTTATTGTAGTATCACTTGCTTAAACTTTCGGCAGTGTTGGCATTATTTCACTGGCATAGTAGTATGATGCCCCTTTTAAAAGAATGCTAAGATTCACTCTCTCCTGGTATTCCCCCCTCCCCCCGGCACTGAAACCAGTTGGTTTTATATCAGGAAATATCTACCCATGTTGGGGCAGAAGTGGTCTGCTTTTCTGGCTGCAAGGTAGGTATGTAGTCCCAGCTGGTAAGTTGGAGCAACGTGATGTGTTTAATATGTCAAAATCTACCAGTGTTGGATATAAGTAGAATAATCCTTTGAAAACCAGGATTATCTCTAGAGAGAGAACCAAGGTTCTTGTATTCAGAGGATTGCTCTGCTTCCATGGGCTGGGTTGGTGTTCTCTTCATTCATTCTGATAGAATAATTGTTTGGTGGAGTCAACAGGCATTAGGATTCTCACAGGATGGGAGGCGTTTGAGGCATATCTGGCTTTACTGCAGACTTGAGTATCAGAGATCCTTAGGCAGTTTCTACTAATCATACAGATGAACAACCATCTTTACCTCACATGATTAATAGAAAATAGCATGCAACCAAACCAGTGTAGGTTCATTTCCTGCCTTGATTTTTCACAGTATATTAAACAAAACTTTAGTGTTAAAATTATTTTGTGATTTGTTTGCCTTTCAAAGGCTTCCCTGCTCATTGTTATGGGAAATCAGCCTGCTGATTTTGGGGCTATCCTGAGAGCACTTCAGGGGTCACAGGTTGCTCTCATACGCATTAGATCAATAATATTAAAAGGCAAAAGAGGTAAGAGTTGAAGAGAGGCAAGAGTCCACTGCATTTATTTCAAATTGCATTACATTATATGTTTATTGTCACTGCAGTGATGCTGGCTGTATACATTAAAAGATGTGATCTATAGCAAGTAGAAATATGTATGGGCACCTCTTATTTTCACGCTTGATAAATAATTTACGAATTCATGGTGCTGAAAAACTTTAGGAGTCATTCTGTGTCGACCTCAATGGTTTAAATGGTTGTTTCCAACTCTAGTTTCAGGTTGTTTTATCCATGTGTGAATGCTGTATTTATAATGTACATCCGATTAGCTTACAGAGCGTTTGATCAATTTGTGCATGGTGTGATTCCCATCCAACTATGATTTATTCAATAAACAATGGTTAAGGAAATTATACTTTGGCACAATGTGTGTACTTAAGAGTCTGGATCAGTCTAAGGTGGAAATCCTAAAAAAGTAATTCCCAGGGAGTGAATCCAACCAAAGTTGGTGTATTCATGCAATATACTGGGTTTAAACTACATTGGGGTTGGTTTATAACTCAAACTAACTACAAAGTTGTGTCAACCCAGACATTTTGTACCAGATTTACATAATTTGCTGTATGTTAAAGTGAAAACCGCATTAAATTAACAAAACATTTGACATAAGGTGAATTAAGTTAAACTAGGCAACCCATCTACTTTATTGGGTCACCTTTTCAGAGATATGTCCTTATCTAAACAGAGAAACAGAATGACTATGGGCAGGCAAAAAAGCAGTGGGAGCAGGAATGACCTCTGAGTTCCTGCTGGCTTTCCCATTGACTTTTCTTGTGGGAAGGTGACAGGGTGCACCAGAAATCAGGAGTACAGGGCCATGGTTAACTGTGTTGCAGCAGCCACAACTTTACAAATGCAATTGGAGTGAAGATCCTTGAAATTTCAATTACATAGGAGTAATGGATTTTGTACATTCTTTACTAGTTGAAGGCTATAAAAAACAGGAAGTCTGGGTATATAAATGGAAACATACAAAACTTTCAGACACCAGAATGAGTGTATAGTAGAATGATTTTCTCAGATTTCTACAGAATGTCTCAACACACAGAGGGTTAGGGAAGGCTGCACTATGGTAACAACCCAATTTTTGGTTGATTATTCTCTGTAATAAGTGAATCTTTTGGAATTTGCAATAAATTACGGATAGACATAAAAATATACATTACTTGAGTTAATCCATGTAGCTGATTAAGTATACTAACTTTAACTTATATTTAAATTTGACTTTATTCCTTAACCCAGAGAATATAAAAGACTGCAGAAGAATAAAGAAGCGAGCCATTATATACAACATAAATCATTTTAATGCAAAACAAGTACTCTTCAGTTGACTGGAGTTACCATAGAAAAAAGTGCACAAAGGCAACCAATCTCAAGAAGAGAAGCTTTTTTTAGTAGATTTATTACTTGCATTTATGTTGGCCCTTTCTCCAGTAAGCTCAAAGCAGTGCAATGGTTCTTCCCTGTGTTATCCTTATAATAAGCTATGAAGTAAAATAAGCTGAAAGACAAAAACTGAGATTGAATTAACATGGTTAAATTTATTCAGTCTAAACATTCAGGTTTTCATAGCACATTGGACCATAAACTAAGTTCAAAGATTGGAATTGGTCAATATAGGCTTTATCAGCAAAAAGGACCAGTAATTGTCCTAGGGTCTATAGGGTTTCCTGCCTGAGCAGGGGGTTGAACTAGATGATCTCCAAGGTCCCTTCCAACTGTTACTCATTCTATAATTAATATCCGAGGGATATAATTCAGCAATCTGTGATAATTGGATTGTTTAAAGAACCTGTGTCATCTGGATAGATATAAATTAACGTGCTTTTATCAGCAAAAGTTTGGTCCTTAAATCCAAGTTAAAGCAGCAGAATCATGAAGAATTTTCATCAATAAAAGGTAAAGTTAAAAACTTCCTTCCATCAAGCTCTGGTTCACGTCCAGGCAGTTTTCCCAACATAAATGGATTACTGCCTTCTTCTGCTAGGTCCTCCTAATGGCCTCCCATCCAAGTATTAATTCTGATTCTACTTAGCCTTCTCCAGATTAGCCACGTTTGATCAGATACAAGAATCTGCTGTAGGGTGTTCACAAATAACATTAAATACAGCACAGTCAAGAGCAAAGGAATGGCAATTCCTCCAATCCTGCAGCTGCAAATGTTGATAGTAGCCGCCTACCTGGCAACAAGGCTACAGGAGATGTATTGATTCAATGCATTGGGATGTAACATGGTCAGCGTTTGGTCCACGCTTACGGCCTTCGACCATTCTTCTGTGTGTTCCGTCTTTTTCATTCTCAGCCATTTCATCCGTGTTTGTGTACACGCATATGTATATACGTGTGTGTAAATACACACACACACACACACATATATACATATACATGTGGGTGAAAAGGCTGAGAATGAAAAAGACGGAGCACATAGAAGAATGGTCGAAGGCCGTAAGCGTGGACCAAACGCTGACCATGTTCCCAATGCATTGAATCAATACATCTCCTGTAGCCTTGTTGCCAGGTAAGCGGCTACTATCAACATTTACAGCTGCAGGATTGGAGGCAGACCATGTTCTGGATGTTAAAAGAGAACGACTAAATCAACCTTCCCTGACTTACCCTCCATACGAGGCAACTTTCCCAGCCAGCACCTGGAGGGCGCCAGATTGGAGAAGGCTGCAGGAATAACTTCGGCTCGAGCTCGGACTCTACTGGCGTGCGTCGCGCGCACATGCGCCCCACCCCGGGAGTGCAGCACCGAAGACCACCAACTTGTCCCCCTCAGCTGCCGCCGCTGGTAACGCCCCCACCCTCCACACCTCAGCACCACCTTCTGTTTTTCCTAATCCCGCCCACCCCTCCTTCATTGGTTTTGCGACCCGGTAGCCCCGCCTCCTTATCAAATCTCGCGAGGATCTCGGGTGCTCAGAAAGCGGCGGCGGGTGGGGGGGCACAGCAATCCACCACAGCGAGACTTGGGGGCTGTCGCTGGAGAGTGGGGAAGAGTCCCGTTAGTGTCGGCGCCAAGCGGAGGGGCACGGGGACTTAAAAGGGGAGAGGGAGCTCGGTCACTTTCCCTCCTTTCTCCCCTCCCGAGGTGAGTGTCTTCCGTTGTTTCTGTCACCCCCGTTCTCTAACCTCCTCCTCCTCCTCCTCCCCTCAAGAAAAATCCTAACTCCTCCAAGACTTGCGAGAAGAGGTTCCGCCTGGCGGTGATTGGCAGCTCAGCCGCGTCAATTAGCGTCAATAGTCGGGAGGAGTGGTGGGCGACTCGGCTAATCAGAGCGTGAAGCTGGAGCCAGAGCCAGCCCCCTTCCCTGGATGTGGGCTGGCCTTCGGGGACTGTGAGGAAGCTCTGAAAAGGGGCCCGGGCGGTGGCCAGGAGGAGGGGCGCGCGCGACCAGGGAGTCGGAGTGATGATGGGCGCGCGAGAAGGGAAGAGTTGGGAGCAGCCTGGGGAGCTGGCCCGCGAGTGTGCTTCTTGCACACGTGTATGGATAGGGGTGTGTGTAGGTGATGTATATGACGTGTGTATATGTATATGTGTGTGTGTGTATATATGTATATGTGTGTATATATATATATATATATATATATATACACACACACACACACACACATATATACATACATATGTCTCACATCACACATATAATACACACATATAATACACACACACATACATGTGGGTGAAATGGCTGAGAATGAAAAAGACAGACAGTACAGGGCCTGAGGTTTATGAGAGGCAAAAACAGCGTCATCCTCAAGGAAGGAGAGCTGAGTGGCATTACTGATCAGAGACAGTTATAGCTCTTGCAAAGACTTCGTGGAAGATATACGTCCCAATAGAGAAACGCCTCCCACCCCCTCCAAACATATTGAGAGAATACTAAAAACACAACGAGGGTGACTTCTTGTTCAAGGCTTATAAAATACTGCAGAGTCAGTGAATAGCTGTTGGAAAACCCTCCTAGATCTGGCTGGGGTGGGGGGTGGGGGATTCCATATTGGATGCCCAAGAAGATTGTGCAGAAAACCCGCAGCTGCAAGTTCCTTTGGACACACCTATGAAGTGGAAATAGGGGTACCAAGTCTCCCATTTTCTGTTTGCCTTTCTGGGCAGTGTAGTTAACGGAGAAGTTGTCAGACTGCCCAGAGAGAATCAATAAGTGAATAGCAGTTGCTTCTCCTTGCTGTGACTATTTGCCTGATTGTCCATGAAATATCCATTCCCATTTGAATGTCCAATCCTTTTGTGAAGGGATGGGGTATCCATAATGCCATACAAAATGGGTTACGAATGGGAAAAGTGTACAGAGATGGCTTCTCCTGCTGTTTTGCTTGTTTTCAACAGGCTGAAAGGGAAGAGTGTTGCTTATATTGCTGTAGGAGCCCCCGCTCCCCAAAGTGGTGCTACTCTGTTGGTATTAGTTCGCCTCCTAATAGCTGCATCTGCATCAATAACTCTTCTTCATCCCCATCAAATGAGAATTCCCATGTAAGAAAAGGGCCTCACATTCTGTATTACTTGCAGAGTGATGCTCCTGCACTTGTTTAAGGGGATAGGATAAATGGCTAGGAGATAGCAAATGTTTGCTCACCTGAACTGGTAGTCAAGAATTTTTGTTGTTGCAGAAAAATGCTGTAAATGAAAATCTTCTCTTTGGATTGTACAGCAGCTGAGTAGCTCCGTCCACCATGACAGGTGTCTTTTAAGCTTCTGCTTCTTATTTTTTCTTATAGAAAGGGGTAGGGCTAGCAAGAAAGTGGTGATCATTACTTTTTAAAAATAACACTCACCTGCCAACTTTGCATAGGGAGGAGGAAGTGATGTTTGTGTCCTGATATGTGCCAGTAAGGAAGTCTAATGGAATGGATAAACATGGTTGTGACAGCATAGAGTGTTGATGGTTGCTGCTTTGCAGTGTCAGCTAGTTAACTGAGAGTGACATTGGTACTACAAAGTTCTGGGGCCTTTGGCAGCAGCCCAGTGACACCAGCTAGAATCATAATGGAAAAGATAGTGTCCATTTGGGAACATTAATTCCATCTTTGTCAACCCTTGATTTGGGTGCAGACATTATTTTCTTTTAAGGAATATTGGAAGTAGATTATTCTTCCTGAATGGCTTTGCAAAAACTTATTTCACATCATCACCATTGTACTAAAGCACTAACTGCAGTTGTTTGGTTTGTTTATTTGAATCTAACTAAGACAGTGACAGGCTGGGTTGGAGCTAAAAATACTGTACAGATAGTCCTTGATTTATGACCACAAATGGGACCAGAATTTCCATTGTTAAGCAAGGTGGTTGTTAAGTGAGTTGTGCCAGTTTTCATGACCTTTTTTTGCTATGGTTGATAAGCAAATCACTTCACATGAATCATGAGGTAGTTTGGTGAATCTGGCTTCCACTGTTGAATTTGCTTGTCGGAAGCCAGCTGGGAAGGTTGCAAACAGTGATTATATGACCCTGGGATGGTGCAAACATTGTAAATACATGCCAGTTGCACCTGAATTTTGATCATATAACTCTGGAGATGCTGCCAGGGTCGTAAATGCAAGTCACTTTTTTCAGGGCTGTTGTAACTATGAACAGTAGCTAAATGAATAAGCTAAGTCAAAGACTATCTGTACAATCATTGAAAATACATTTTAATATGCATAACTGATTTAACAACACCTTACAGTATACAATGATACTTTGTAAAAAAAATCCAAAATAATGCACATCGTCCCACTATCTTGCTTGAAAGTGCTTTTCATTTCAGGTGCCAGTAATTGCAGCTTGTTTTGTTTAGAATAATACATGATATTTGTGTGGCTTATTTTAAAAACTCCAGGTGCTTCACACAGAATCGTAGTGACAACAGCAGTGTAGGATGATTTTCTAACCTGGTCTGAATAGCTATTAGGAAAATAAAGAATAGTGGTTTCCCTATAGCTGCATGGTCAACTTTCAGCAGAACAATGTTTGAAAAATTATGGATTTACATACTGACAGCCATTGAATTAACATTACTTTTTGTCTTGTAACTTTGTATGTTGGTGGTTATGTTAAACTGAACCTCCACATGGGAAAGCAAATAGTTAATAAAGAATAAAAATTGTCAAAATTGAGAAGTGTAATATTTTATATTAACATTGCGACATGTTCCTTTGCTGACTGAAGTTACATAAAGCAATTTGTAATCAATTCTAATTTAAACTATCCTTATCAACTATAGTGGCACAAAATCTTAAATTGTATAGTAGTGTTTCATCAGATGCTTGATCACTTGTTATGTCCTTGTAATGAAAATAAATATTTTGCTTCAAATAACTGAGAGATGGGCTTTGTAGGAATATTATTAAGCTGATCTTATATTTGCGAACTATGGAAGAAAGAGACACTCTGGCAGGGGAATGAAGAGATGATAGAAAAACAACAGGAAGGATTAGTATGATTAATTCCAACTTCATAATGTCTTACTCCTTGCAGAATTTTCAGATATTGGGATTTCTCAATTCTAGAATTGGAAAGGGAAATCAGATATTAAATTCTATCCTGATGCAAGGCCGTGTCCTTGACTATAGAGGACTAAAAGCTAAGAATTCTGTGATGCCCTATTGGCTATAGGTCTTAAGTATTAAGACCTGATATTAGCATATGTTGATTTAGTATATTGATGTCATGTCAGAGTTTTCTCACATTGCAGCATTGAATCTTGCTAAATCAAAGTGAAATTACTCAAAACTCATGAAAAATGCAGAATACAAAAAATATGATTTTATTCACGATGTTTCCTTTGTACTTAGCCACTTCTTTTGCTAAGAACTTCATAGAATAGCATTGTGATTTGACAGAGTTGTTTGAGAGCATAGGGTATAATGAGGCTGATAAATATATTGAACTGTTTTTGGGTAGAAATTAATATACTGCTTTCCTAACAAGTGTTAAGTAAGTTTTATTTGTGAATTAAGCATTGTAGATGTGTTGGTTAGGTGTGAGGATTTTAAAGTGTACTTTTATAAAGTTTTGTATTTCACCACAGTTCTGAACCTTTAATACAACAAAACAATGGGAATAATGGAAAAATTGTCCATTAAACCAAATATTGAATGGCACGTGTAAAATAATCAACCTGTTTTATTCCATTAGTCTAGTAAAGTGAAGTTTAGTAAATTAAAGGTTTACTACAGTAAATTCAACTTCTGATAACTGTGTGGACATATCCATGTTGCTGTATGAAAGTAGTTTCCTTTGCGTTCTTCCAGACCTTTAAAGTTATTTTTTACTGTGACTTATCATTATCTTCCCTAAGCTAAGTATCTTCTTAGTAGCTAGCTTTCCAGTTTCCAGAACTCCTAATAGCTGTATTTGCTGACAATTTTTTGAATAAAACATTTTTTTATTTTATGTATATCCTGCTTTCATTATTTTTACAAATAACTCAGGGAGATGAACATATGCAACATACCTTCCTTCTCCTATTTTCCTCACAACAACAACCCTGTGAAGTGACTTGGACTGAGAGAGGGACTGGCCCAAGATCACCCAGCTGGATTTCATAGCTAAGGCAGGACTTAAACTTATGGTATCACAGTTTCTATCCTGGGGCTTTAACCACTAGACCAAACTGGCTCTCTTATCCAGAAAGCGTTCAGGTAGGAAAATCCATGTTGCATCAACTGGGGAAAAAATCAGAAACCTTAGGATTTAAATTTTTGGTAACTGTATCTTGATATCAATATTTGTTCCACCTATCAAATATTTCTTATATTATGCATATACCAAGTTATGTAATGCTCATCTGGATGAATAAAAGACAATAAATAGCATTCGCTACTTATAGTCCACATAGTTATCCATAGCTTAGTAAGTAGAAAATATATATTTTATCAGGTAGGAATATCTAATTAAATAAGTTGTAGAGCAGTGGTAGTCAGCCTGGTCCCTACCCACCACTAGTGGGCGTTCCAGCTTTCATGGTGGGCGGAAGGGTTTTTGTCCTCTATAAATCACCATTACTGTGGAACTGGTGAGCGTTTAATTTTTTTTTACTACTAACAGAGATACAAAAGTGGGCGGTGGGTATAAAAAGGTTGACTACCCCT